TATAAAGAATTTAGAGGCAGGGACTATAGTAAATTTAATGTAGATGATTTTCTTAGAATAATGGAAGAAAGAACTGAGCAAGGTCAAGGGCTAGATATAAGCATAAGGGCGGAGAGATTTGTCAATAGTATAGTAAGTGTATTGGATACTGTAGCACCTAAGAAAAAGTTTAAGATTCCGAAAATATGGGAAGGGAAAATGTGGTATTCAGATGTAATTAGAATGGCAGCAGATAGAAGGGATGAGGCTCACAGTAGAGCAATAAACTCAGGTAAAGAACAGGACTGGAAATTTTTCAGAAATGAAAGAAATGCTGTAGTTAAACTTATCAAGGCAAAAAAAAAAAAGAATACTATGAGAATATGATAGATAATAATAGGAGTGATCCTACAAAAATGTGGAAAACTTTAAAAGAATTAATTAAAGGTGAGCAAAGGGGTTCAGAGAACATCGATAATGTAGATTTTGAAATATTAGAAGACATAGAAGAATGCAATATAGCTGATAAATTTAATATATATTATGTAAAAAGTATTAGCAACATTGTGCAATCTATTAGTAATAAGGGGATAGAAGGCACGGGTAGGAGACCTATTTATGTAATTGAGAATAAAGGAATTATGGAAAATTTTGAGCCAATTAGTGCAAGTGATTTGGAACAAATTGTTAGGGAACTACCACGAAAGAACGGAACAGAGGAAGGGATAAGTAGTGATATACTGAAAATGGTGCAACATGTGATAAAAGATGAGTTTGTAGGAGTAATAAATGATTCGCTTAGGACAGGTAAATTTCCAGAAGGATGGAAAACATTCACGATAATACCGATACCAAAGGTAAACAAACCAAAAAAAGCGAGCGAGTATAGACCGATTAATATGTTACCGATATATGAAAAAGTATTAGAGTTAGTTGTAAAAAAACAGTTGGAAAAATTTCTAGATGACAATGAAATAATAACCGAATACCAATCGGGATTTAGGAAACAGCAGTCGTGTGAGACAGCAATTCAAAGTTTTATCGAAGAATGGAAGTTGATAATTGAAGAGAAAAAAATGATAAGGGTGTTATTTTTGGATCTCAGGAGAGCGTTTGAGACAATAGATAGGGTAAGATTAGTGGAAAAATTATATCAGTATGGAATAAGAGGAGTGGTACTGGAATGGATAATATCGTATTTAAGTAATAGAAAGCAGCAAGTTAGATTCAATGATATGTGTTCTAAAATAATTGAGGCAGTATATGGCGTGCCACAGGGATCAGTATTAAGACCTCTATTGTTTATTTTGTATATAAATGATATAGTTAAAGTCTGTCCGGAGGGAAGTATATTTAGATTATTTGCAGATGATACGACCGCAAGTGTAACAGGAGAAAGTTGTGAGGAAATAGAAATAAAACTAAATATGGTGCTCGGTATACTTGAAGAATGGATGAATGTGAATCTGTTAAAAATGAATGCAGATAAGACCAAATATATGATAGTTAGAAGTATAAGGAAAGAAATAAAAACAGACATAATAGTAAAATGTTTGAATGGAACTGTAATTGAGCGTGTCGAGATAACGAAACATCTGGGTGTAATGATCGATAGTAAACTCCGTTGGGAGAATCACTGTGATTATATGTTAAAGAAAATAGGGAAAAAAGTGAGTTTTCTGAACAGAATAGGAAATGATATATCGGCGTACACTCGATGTACTGTGTATAAGTCTATCATAGCACCTCACTTTGAGTATTGTGCAACGTTATTAATTGGTATGGGTGACACATTACTGAATAAGCTACAAGTTGCGCAAAATCGAGCTATGAGGGTTATACTTCAATGTGATCGACGTACCAAGGTAGACCTGATGCTGCAAGCACTCCAGTTTAGAATATAAAACAGAGATTATTATATAATGTATGTATTTTTATTTTTAAAATAATAAGAGGAATAATGCCTAGACAATTAGGTAACAAAATAGAAATAGTAGGTGATGTGAGTAACAGACAAACAAGACAGGCTGAGAATATTGTGGTGCGGTTTCGTAGAACGAGGGGCGGACAAAAGAGTATATTCTATGATGGTCTAAATATGTATAACGCCCTACCATTTGATATAAGGCAATGCGAGAGGAT